GTACTACTTTTAAAAGGAGCCAGACAATGATGAATTAGGGGGGTTTTGGGGTCATTCGGGGCGCAGAATCGAAAATCCAAAGGAATTAGGGATCCCCTTGACATCCTAGGTTTTGGTTGATTTCATATGAGTTTTATAAAGGATTTTAAATGAAAGAATCTAAGGGAATTAGACGAATATTTAATTAATTGATTAATTGCATGAAATAATTAAAATCAATTGAAATCGAATTAGAATTCCTCTTAAAATCAATTGAAATCGAATTAAAATTCCTTTTAAAATCAATTGAAATCGAATTAACATTCCTTTTAAAAACAATTGAAATCGAATTAAAATTCCTGTTAAAATCAATTGAAATCGCATTAACATTCCTTTTTAAATCAATTGAAATCGAATTAAAATTCCTTTTACAATCAATTGAAATCGAATTAAAATGCCTTTTAAAATCAATCGAAATCGAATTAAAATTCCTTTTAAAATCAATTGAAATCGGATTAAAATTCTTTTAAAATCAATTGAACTCGGATTAAAATTCCTTTTAAAATATCAATTGAAATCGAATTAAAATTCCGTTTAAAATCAATTGAAATCGAATTGAATTTCCTTTTAATTAAAATCAATTGAAATCGCATTAAAATTTCTTTCAAAATCAATTGAAATCGCATTAAAATCTCTTTTAAAATCAATTGAAATCGAATTGAATTTCCTTTTAATTAAAATCAATTGAAATCGAATTATAATCCCGTTAGAATCAATAGAAATCGAACTAAAATCCCGTTAGAATTAAAATCCCGTTAATTAATTAGTTAATTATTTAATCAATTATTCATTTTTATTTGATTTTAATTGATTTTAAAAGGAATTTAAAGGCGGCCCTACCAAATCCTTTCAATAAATATTCCCCCCTAATAATAGATAATTTCTGACCACCCGGAATATTTATTATTAGGGGGGGGGGACGTCGTTTATTATTAGGGGGAAGCGATTACGGTGTTGGTCAAGACTCCTCTTCACAAGCAGAACCTGCGTTTCATAGCCTTGGTGACTCCCATTGCTTGCTCCCTGGCCACAATATCATGGCATGGGTAGTTGTCAAGAATGTGCCTCTTTTAGAGGAGCTCCGTTAAGTACAATACTACATTTATCATAGTACCCAATGAATTTTGGAGCACTGACCGGGAATGCCTGCTTTGGGCAACCTCCCCATCTGCTCCCGCAAGCCTATTTCTGAACCCAAGCCCCAAACCAAAAACCTTGAAGCATCAAACACACACACACACACATGCACTCATAAATCTCCAGTGCTCCCTGAGACAGCCCAAATGGGAATTTCTCGAAGTCTCCCCCCGCCGAAAACTTAAGGGGGCGATCCCTACGTGTGACACCTACGCCCTCAAACCTACCCCCTATTCATCCTGATGTCAAGCCGTACAGGCAGCTGTCAGAACTACGGTGCCGTTCTGAGCCCCTTACCATACTGCGGCCCTTAATATACAGGGTGTCCAAACAAGACACCGAATGTTGACAACATTGGATGTGTTGTAGAAGCTCCAAGAATTACGAATAGGATTTTGAAGTCTGTTCGAAGTACCATAGTTCTAGGAATCTAGAGCTAGGCTATTGAGAACTATCCCCATATCAACCCAGCTTTTATTTAGTATCCACTTGTTCATGCGATGCTCCATCATCCTAAGCCCTATGTAATCCTATCAGTAGTGATTTAGGCCCCTCTCGTCCCAACACCTCAGCCCTAAACCCCAAACTGTAAATCCCTGCCCAGGGATCTGGGGCAGCAGCAATTTGGTTCTCACTGCCTTTGCCACTGCACCTGCTGCACCCGTTGTTGCCGTGTCGGTGCCTGGATGCAGTTCTGGGAGTCTAAGGTTTAGGATATTCCTGGTGGGTTTGGGTTTGGGTTTCTGATTTTTGGGGGGTGCGTTTTAGGATTCGGGGTGGGCTCTGGGTTTGGGGGGCAGCAAGTGGAATCGAAGGGTTTTGGGTTGGGGATGTGGGGGATGTGGGGTAGCGGGTGGGCTGTGAACTGCCTATTCACGATTGCTCGGGAGTATCATCCTCGTGGGTGTATATTGCATCCAAAGCAGTCCCTCAAAATACGGGGGCTCTTTACCCTAGACCCTAAACCCTAAAGGGGCAGTCCGAGTGGCTGTTCTCAGACGGCATTCCATATTGGTGTAGGGAAGGTTTAGGCTCAAAACTTGCAACGTGAAGGTGCGCAGACTCTATCACATGTAACCACCACAACAACAACCACAACCATTTCAAGACCCTGTACAATAATGGTAATGGTAGTGGTTTGGGGGACCTAAACCATAACATGCGAGCCTGGACACTTAGGGATCTACATCCTAAACCCTAATCCCGCACGATTTTTGTTCATGCATAATTTGAGCCTTGGACCCTCAGGGATCTAGTTCCTAAGCCCTAAACCCAAAACCCGCACCATTTGTCATGCATCAGCTCGGAAACGTCGCAGCTGAAATGAGCGATCGCTGCAGCCAGTCCTCTGAGGCTTTCAGGGGGTGTAGTGGACCCAGGTGTACAGTTTTAGGGCTTAGGCTCCAACTAAACCTAGGGCTACCCCGCCCAGCTACTGTGGATGGAGGATTTGGGCACCACGCTATATAGGCTATGCCCTAAGAATTGCCTCCAAGAACCGCACTACCATTTCAAGCACACTGACGCTCTAAGTCTGTGAATGATACCTACTCGGGGCCCTACAGTCTATACATAACACTTTACATAGGGTTGCTATCACCTGGCTACTTTTACCCTACTATTATTCTTATTATGATTATTAGCTATTGCTGCTGCAACCCTAAACCTGAAACCCTATACCAGACCCAAGACATTGTGAAATTACGCGTTTACTATTACTATGAACCCTAAAATCCTAAACCCTAAGCCCCTAAACCCTAAGCCCTAGATTACTTTTAGCCTGAAGGTCCTAGGAACCCGGGGTCCTCAGAATTTTCGCCCCAGGCCCGCTGTCCTGGGCAGTCATTCTGTTGATGGAAGGCTTGGGGTAAAAGGGTTTAGGGTAGAGGGTTTGGGGATTAGTTTTGGGTAGAGGGTTTGGGGTTTGCTGTTTAGGGTTTAGGTTTCGGGTGTGAATATGAAGGACCACATTTCCTGCAGGTATCTTAAAAGAGAACTTCTCACAGAAATCACCATAGAATCCGTGAAGGTGACGCCAGTAATCTCCTTTAACCCTGCAACATACCCCTCCATTTCAGCGGGAAAAATCCCCAAATGAGGCAGGGCTTCTTCTATCAACCCTTCCTGAGCTCCTAAACCCTAAACCCTAAACCCTAGACCCTAAATTGTCTCTGTGATTGCAAGAGGGAGGATTGTGGGGGCTTGAGGCTCAAGTGGCTCGGCTTTGAAGCTTCAAGAATCCCGAAGGGTCCATGTAGGTATATGGGATATACTTGGGCCTTAAAGTAGGTATATGGGAACCTCTTTGGGCCCTAAGTATCTACCATATACCTACATGGACCCTTTGGGAATATGACTGCATGTTGTTGACCGCAGGCTTGTAAACAACCATCAAAAACGCATTTCCACCAGGTTAATGAAAGCTGATCTAGGGGCCGCCGCGTCCCAAATTTGCAGCGCCGGCCCAGAAGTTCAGAAAGTTCCTGCCCCAAGGAACTCGCTTCAGCGTAGAGGTGAAATGGACGCCCAAAGCACGCTCATTGCAACGGAGGAAACTGAGATGGCCATAATGTAAGCCTGAATCCTCCAAGGTAGCGTTGATGACGCTGCCCAGATGATACGACCGTACAGACCATCCCAAAAACTTGTATTGTGATCTGCTTGGCGGCACTTTCCCTGCCAGGGTGATGGCCAGAAAGCTCTCCAAAAACAGTGGGCAATGTATTCGCAAGACTGTCCAATCGAAGAGGCCCGGATATACCCGATCCTGCCACATGGTAGTTTGGTAGTTTCCGAAAATAAGGGGACCCCAATGTAAACCCAACAGTACTGTAATCCTGTTTATGGGGACCCTAAACCCTACATAAGTCCCTTAAAAGTACCCATAATTTTGGGGGAGATCCTGCCAAATGGCGTCATCTTGCCAACTGGCATCATCAACTGTCTTGCGCCACCTGGGCCGCTTTTTACCCGGACAAGCTGAACCCTCTGAAGCCCCAAAGCCCTACACCCCAAACCCTGAAACCCTAAACCGTAAACCCCCAAAGCCCAATACCCTAAACCGCAGAAAGCCCTTCAGTTCAGGGTTTAGGGCTTGAGGCTCCTTAAAGCAGCCCAACAGCCCGAAGCCCTTATGGGTAGCTCCCGAAATATGGGTCCACTTGGTACCCCCCAAATAGCAGGTGCTGCAATAGGATCTATAACCAAGGGTTTAGGGCTTAGGGAAAAAAGTCCATAATTCTAAGAACCCTTAACCCTAAGCCACTTATAGTTCCCAAACCTGTTGCAAAGAGTTGGAGAGCCACAGGTTGTTAACGCCTCCACCACGCGCTTGCACGCCTCCATGTTCCCGTGGCTCTACCTTGCTAGTTGTTTGTAGGGAATAGGTTTTTAGGCCTTAGGGAATTAAGGGAACAGAGGGACTAAAGCTCTTTGAAAGGGCATATAGGGCTTCTCTGGGTGTATATACCAACTTTGGAAACAGAAATCGCACAAGAAATGGAGAATTGAAGTGGAAGCTGCTACTTAGGTTTCAGGGACTATATAGGGGTTACATAGACAGCATTTTTTGATTATACAGGGTTAGAAATGGGGGAAGGAAAACAAAGAAACGGACACTGTTTGGGGTCTAGGGTTTAAGGTTTAGGGAAGGGAGAGACGAAGGAATGGCAAAAGACATGGAGCCCACATTACAGTCGGGATCATATACGGTTGCTTAGGGTTCAGGCGTTATAGGGTTTGGGGATAATATAGCGGCTACTATAAACCCTAAACCCTACGGGCAAGTCACCACCCAAGGCTCATCGAAGGTATACCACAGGCTTGTATTTTGAGACAGCACCTGGGTAGCGCTTTTTTGGGCTGGTTAAACCAAATGAGGTTCTGTTCTCCTCATAAAATACTCACTATACCATGGAATCTTACTCTTTATTGGGAATAATATAGATATAGATATATAGATATGCATATCCATAGACCCTAAAACCTTCACTGTAACCCCTAAACCCATAGATATATATATATACATGTACATATATATATATATACATATACATACACAAATGTACGTACCTGTGCCCTGATGGTTACCCAACATTGCAGGGATCAACGCAAGATATCATGGGGCCATGTTGGGATTGCTAACAGTACAGGGGGAGGCCTCCTACTTACATAACTAGAAGTATATCTTCCATAACTAGTCTCATACGACTTGTAACCTACTTATCCCTATTGTAACCCTGTTAGAACGCAACTTTTAACTAGGGCACCCCTCCTTGTAGACAGCGATTTGAAGGCGATGGTTGTGGGAGTTTGGAGCTGTCTGAGGCATATGTGCACGTGCATTATCAGGGAGACATCGACGTATATCAAACTATCAAACAGCAGGCGCGCACATAGGAGTATACGTAAATCTGCATGGGCATATAGTTCCCCTTAAGTAGATAGAATATGGGGTCTATGGGGATCTTGTTATAATATACCCAAAGCCATATTCTATCTACTTAAGGGGGACTGTATGCGTTTGATGAATATCCAGCTCACGACGTCTCCTGTGTGGCTCCTCGTTGGCTAGAAGCTCTGGGGTTTAGAGTTTAGGGTTTAGGATTTAGGGTTTAGGATTTAGGGTTTAGGATTTAGGGTTTAGGATTTAGGGTTTAGCATTTAGGGTTTAGCATTTAGGGTTTAGGATTTAGGGTTTAGGGTTTAGGGTGTATGGCCCCTGATCAAACGCCACAACTGACACCTTCAACCTCACAAAGGACGTCACAACTCAAACTCGAGGCCCCCCCAGACCTTACGCCGTAAACACTAGACCCTAAACCCTAAATAGTAGATTTCCATTTTATTTTGAACTATCCCAGTATAACCCCTATATAAATCCCTAAACCCTAAACCCCTAAACCCCTAAACCCTAAACCCTAAATCCTAATATAACTATGCGCCTTGGTGAACATGCCTTCTCCAAGGCTGCACCAAATTTCAGTCTCCGAGTCGATGCGACTCTTCACCTGGACTCATCACACTGTTGATGGAGGAAATCTTGCACCACTTAGAGCCCCTAAACTAGGGTAATTCCTAGGACTTTAGGGACTTCAGGTGGTGTAGGATTTCATCCAGCAACAGCAGTTCTCCCAAAGGTTTCTCAAAGTAGGGAAATCCTTAGCAAGGGTTTAGGGTTTAGG